CTTGCAGCAAAACTCTTTGAAAAACTTATCCGTATTCACTATCTCCAATTTCTTCCTTCCCATTCTCTCTTGAACTAACCCTACTCCAGTCAAGCTTTTGTACCCACCACTAATTGAAACCGTTTTCATCAGGTTCACTGATGACCTACGTAATGCTATACAATGGCCAATTTTCTGTCCTTCTCTGACATGACTTAGCAACAGGTGATACAGTTAATCACACCCTCCTCACTGATACACTTTCTTCACTTGGCTTCCACAACACCCCACTTTACCTTATTGACTACTGCGTAAAACAGAAGACTTAGTAATTTCATTTCGTCTCATGACCTTAAATACTAATTAAGGAGAAAGCAGCCAGCGTAGGCCTTTTTACAGAAGCCCAGGCCTGAGAAAACGATCTTACATTTCAGTCTCACAGCAGTTTTCTTGAAATGTTAGAAAGGTAAAATTCATGTGAAAAACTATGTTCGAGATCCACACTGTACCATATAGTAAGCCACTAGTCACATAATGCTATTTTATTTACATTTTAAATTAACTAAGGCTAAATAAAATTTTAAATGCAGTTCCTTAGTTGTACTAGCCACATTTTAAGTGCTGGAGAGCCACCTGTGGCTAGTGGCTACCATACTGGCCATTGCTCAATGGACAATGCAAATGGAGAACATTTCCATCATCACAGAAAATTCTATTAAACGGTGTTGTTCTGAACCTTGTTTAATGTTAAACCCTTGATTTATGTGCACTGAGCCTGGATTGTGAGGGCTGTAATTGGCATACAGACCCTGAGGCATACTTGACTAGGACGATACAGAAGACAACTGGGAAATCAAGGAAATGGCTTTCCTGTGCTGAAATGAACACTGGCTATGTCTTATAGAACTAAGCACATTCTCCCATATACTGGAAGAGTCTAAAAGCTGTGGACTGTTGTTAGATGTTCTAAACAAGAAAGCGGATGCTTCTCCATGCTGAATGAGACTGTATACTTCAGCTCTGTCTCCTACAACTAAACACACCTCTATGCAATGGTACAATCCTGGAAGCTGCACGTGGCAATGCAAATGGTGTTGTATGTGCTATGTCTCCTGTCCTGGCAAAGCTGTGTAAACCTAGTGCCAATTTAAAGCCTATACATTGGATTGTCAAATTTGAGTCAACTACTGGTGGCTGTGCAGACTGACGTCAAACTGAAGCATTAATTGTTCTAAACAGAGGAGCCATTGCCTTTGTTCCTAATCACTAAGCCTTTAGCATCCAAGCATATAAACCAGGCATTTCACATAGAGATCTAACGTCAAAGTCATAAAACAATATATACTCATACACAGTATCTCCTCTGCATACATCTCTCCCTCTCAAATTTGAGTTTCCAATGAAGAGCCAAAAATTAAACTGGTCAAACCAAGAATAACAATAAAAATTTCAAGCAGAATTAGGATAAAAGGACTTTGTATATCATTTTTTTTTTTTTTTTTTTGAGACAGAGTCTCGCTCTGTTGCCCAGGCCAGAGTGCCCTGGCGTCATCCCAGCTCACAGCAACCTCAAACTCCTGGGGTCAAGCGATCCTCCTGCCTCAGCCTCCCGAGTAGCTGGGGCTACAGGCATGCGCCACCATGCCCGGCTAATTTTTTCTATAT